ACACACACACACACACACACACACACACACACACACACACACACACACACACAAAAACACTCTCTCTCACACACACACACACACACACACACACACACACACACACACACACACACACACACACACACACACACACACACACGAGTATGACTATGAACATTATCACATGTAAATCTGCTGACTGTTACAATGATGCTTGAGCCATACTCTACATATACTAAATGATTATGTTAACCTCTGAGTCCCATTAGTATTCAGTAAGAATAGGAAACAGGCTAAATGTAGTGGAAATATAATTGATTTAGTAAGATAAGTATAAAAGTATTTCTTTAAAGATGGCATATTCCTAAATATGAAAAAAGTTAGGCATACTCTCTCATAAGAACAGCAGCCTTTCTTTACCCTACATGGAAATACCTTGACAATCTGATAGGGACATTTCATCTTAGCATTGTTTGATCTTGGTTAGTTTGTGTTTTCGGGAGGTAAACTGCATTGGGCAGGATGTGTATCCGTACCCAGCTCAGTCAGCCACAGGGCCACAGCGCCGTAGATCTCATCCAGGATCAGAATGACCACCAGGTTGATGATGACCGCGGTGGCCGTCACCGTCACTCGAACATTGGACTTCGTCTCCGGGTCGGGGCTCATCGCCATCAGAGCCGACACTGTGATGCGGTAGATGATGACGCCGAAAACTGCTGAAAACGTCAAGCCGAACTGGAGCAAAGAAAGAAAAATAAATAAGTCATTACTGGATCGTATTTATCTGATACTGACAGTGCAGAGCCTGGGATTAATATTTCAGAAACACATACAAGTAGGTCAGTTATTAATGTACAGTAACGTGTCATATACTGTATGTTTATTTTTCTATTTAAAGTGCTTTCATCCATGTACAGTCAGAACATGATGATCCTGTGTTGAGCATTAACCTGATTGTATGTTCTTACCATAAAGAGGATAGAGGAAATGTTGATGAAGTATCCAGGAAGACGGTCTTTCCATGTCAGCTTCTCAATGGCAGCCTGACAGGAAGCACAGCAGAAACAGGGGATGTTATCCAACACTTTTATAAAGGCCAAATTTGTAGTGTCTGACGCATAATAAAAGAAAATATGTGTTTATCGATTGACTGAATGGTGAGTTAATAAGCGTGTATCTCAGTTCCTCCATAGTTCCCATGTTTTCAACAAAGGCACAATGGACCTTCTCACAGTCTCCATGGAACACATGATGTCATTTCCAGGCACAAATATGGGAATTTCTGTTCAAAAGTTGTCACTGTACATACAGTAAGCGTTGATTAGTTTAGTGAGTATAAACAAGAAGTCAATGAAAGCAGCAGGCCTAAGTGATTACTTTTGCAGTCATTCTGCTGTGTCTAGACCTATAATGTGATCCCCACACACACACACACACACACACACACACACACACACACACACACACACACACACACACACACACACACACACACACACACACACACACACACACACACACACATGACTATGAACATTATCACATGTAAATCTGCTGACTGTTACAATGATGCTTGAGCCATACTCTACATTTGAGACACGTTCTCATGTATACTGTATGATTATGTTAACCTCTGAGTCCAATTAGTATCCAGTAAGAATAGGAAACAGGCTAAATGTAGTGGAAATATAATTGATTGGGGTGCCAAAAACGAAGTCTAAGCGCAGAGGGGACCGTGCTTTCTCTGCTGCCGCCCCTAAACTGTGGAACGACCTGCCCTTGCTAATCAGACAGTCTCCCACACTGTCTGTTTTTAAATCCCGTCTTAACCCACCTTTTCTCCTTAGCATTCGTAAACAAGTAGATTGTTGCTTTTATTTGCTTTCAGTGCTCTATTGCATGGAATATTGTTGATTATATGGCTGTTTTTTATTTTGTAATTGTTACGTTTATTCTGGTTTCGTTTTGTGTTTGTATCTTTTATTTTAAATGTATTTATTTTAGGTTTTTGTGAGCTGAGCTGTGTG